AACACCCAACAACCACGCCACATCCCCCCAACAACCACTCCCCAAACACCACAACAACACTCCCTCAACCAAAACCCACCCCCTCCAAAACCCCAGACCACCACAACCACTGCCATCACACCACACAACCCTGCCACATCACCCCCACAACCACGCCATATCACCACAACAACCACTGCCATCATCCCCACCACCCCCACCACCACCACCACATAAACTCACAAAACCCTGCCTCACCCACCCCCAAAACCACTGCCATATCACCACAACAACCACTGCCATCATCACCCCCCAACAACCATTTTTCCATCACCCACAACAACCACTGCCATATCACCCCCACACCACGCCATCATCACCACAACACCCTCCCATAAACACCACCAAAACCCACGCCACATCCCCACAAAACCATTGCCATCTCACCACAAAAACCCCTCCTGCCATCATCACCACAAAAAACACGCCATAAACCCCACAACAACCACTGCCTCACACCACAAACAACCACGGGCCATCACCCCCACAACCACTGCCATCATCACCCCAAAAACCCTGCCATCATCCCACAACAACCAGCCACATCCCACAACAACCACTGCCATCACACCCCCAAAAACCCTGCCACACCCCCACAACAACCACTGCCATCATCCCCACAAAACCCTGCCATCATCACCACAACAACCATGCCTCATCACCAAAAACAACCACTCCCATCATCACCACAACAACCACGCCATCATCCCCCAAAAACCCCCAAAAAACCACCCCCAAATCACCACAACAACCACTCCCAAACATCACCCCCACAACCACTCCCACATCCCCACCACAACCATGCCAAAACACCACAACAACCACTGCCACCCCACAACAACCCCCCATCATCACCACAAAAACCATGCCTTCATAAACCCAACAACCACGGGCCATCATCACCACAACAACCACGCCACTCACCACAACAACCCGCCACATCCCCCCACAACCACGCCATCACACCAAAACAACCACTGCCATCATCACCACACAACCCTCCCATCATCACCACAAAACCACTGCCCCACCACAACAACCACTCCATAAACCCCCAAACAACCCTCCACACCCCCACCACAACCCCTCAACATCCCCCCCAAAAACCACGCCACATCACCACAAAAACCCATGCCCATAAACCACCCCAACCACTGCCACATACCACAAACAACCACTCCCATCACACAAAAAACCACGCCATCACACCACACAACCACTCCCATCACCCCAAAACCAAAACCCACGCCACATCACCCAAAAACCATGCCATCATCACCACAAAACCACTGCCATCATCACCACAACAACCACTGCATCACACCACAACAACCACTGCCATCATCACCAAAAAACCACCCCATCATCACCCCCACAACCACGCCATCAAAACCCAAAAACCATCCCATCACCACACAACCCCTGCCACTCACCACAACAACCACTGCCATCATCACCACAACAACCACTGCCTCTCACCAAAAAAAAAAAAAAAAAAAAAAAAAAAAAAAAAAAAAAAAAAAAAAAAAAAAAAAAAAAAAAAAAAAAAAAAAAAAAAAAAAAAAAAAAAAAAAAAAAAAAAAAAAAAAAAAAAAAAAAAAAAAAAAAAAAAAAAAAAAAAAAAAAAAAAAAAAAAAAAAAAAAAAAAAAAAAAAAAAAAAAAAAAGTCATCCCCACCACAAACCCACTCCCCATCCCATCACCACAACACCCTCCCATCATACCCACAACCCCCACTGCCATCATCCCCCACAACAACCATGCCATCATCACCACAAAAACCATTTGCCATCATCACCACAAAAAAAAACCCTGCCCATCATCCCCACCCAACCACGCCATCATCACCACAACAACCACTGCCAAAAACACCACAACAACCACGCCACATAACCCCCACAACCACCCCCTTCATCACCACAAAAACCCACTGCCATCATCACCCCCACAACCACTGCCTCATCACCCCAAAAAACCCCACTGCCATCATCACCACACAACCACTGCCCATCATCACCACAAAAAACCCACTGCCCATCACCAAAAAACAACCACTGCCATCATCACCACAAAACCACTGCATCATCACCCAACAACCACTGCCATCATCACCACACAACCACTGCCATCTCCCAACACAACCACTGCCACATCCCCCAACAACCCTCCCAAAACATCCCACAACAACCCCTGCCAAAAACACCACAAAACCACGAAACATCCCCAAACAACAACCACTGCCATCTCCCCAAAACCCCCCACGCCATCATCACCACAACAACCATCCATCATCCCCCCAAAAACCCCTGCCATCATACCCCCCACAACCACTGTCATCCCCCACAACAACCACGCCACATCACCACAACAACCACTCCCATCATACCAAACAACCACCCATTCATCACCACCACCCCACCCCACCCCACATAATCACACAAACCCCCCCCATCATCACCACCAAACCACCCCACATCACCACAAAAACCACTGCCATCTCCCCACAACCACTCCCATCATCCCCAAAAACCCACTGCCTTTATCACCACCAAACCACTGCCATCATCCCACAACACCCTGCCTCACACCCCCCACAACCACTGCCCATCACCCCACAACCATTGCCATACACCACAACAACCACCCACAAAACCAACCCCCAAAACCACTGAAATCATCACCAAACAACAACCACTGCCATCATCACCAAAAAAAACCACTGCCATCATCCACCACCACAACCACTGCCATCTCACCACAACACCTGTACCCTTGGAGGCCCCCCCCCAAATCATCACCCGACAACAACCACTGCCATCATCACCACAACAACCACAGCCATCACCACCACAACCACTGCCATCATCACCACAACATCTCTCTACTCGCCATCATCACCACAACAACCACTGCCATCATCATTACAAAAACCAATGCCATCATCCCCACAACAACCACAGCCATCATCACCACCACAACCACTGCCCATCATCACCACAACCAACCACTGCCATCATCACCCAACAACAACCACTGCCATCATCATCCACAACAACCACTGCGATCATCGCCACAAACAACCACTGCATCATCACCACCACAACCACTGCCATCATCACCACAACATCTCCACTGCCATCACTCACGTCATAACAACCCTGCCATCACGCACAACAACCACTGCCATCATCACCACACAACCACTGCCATCATCACCACCACAACCACTGCCATCATCACCACACCAACCACTGCCCATCATCACCACCACAACCACTGCCATCATCACCACAACAACCACGCCATCATCGCCACAACAACCACTTGCCATCATCACCACAACAACCAACCGCCATCATCACCACCACAACCACTGCCATCATCACCACAACAACCACTGCCATCATCACCACAACAACCACTGCCATCATCACCACAACAACCACTGCCATCATCACCACAACAACCAACTGCCATCATCGCCAACAACAACCACTGCCATCATCACACCACAACCACTGCCATCATCACCACCACAACCACTGCCATCATCACCACAATAACCACTGCCGCAGTATTTCTTTGACTCATTATTTTTATAATATTTTTCAGTGTTTTCACTTATCTTATATTTTTTTTTATCTGTGTTTTTTTTTATGCTACTCGTCTCTAGTAAGTATTATTGTGTAGTGTACCAGTCAGTCACTCTGTGTGAAGTGATTCATTTTTTTTTTAACGGTAATCCTTTCAGCTTGTATTCTCCAGTAATTGTCATTGTATTTCATGCGTGATATCACCCAGTATACGTAAATTATCCTTATTAATTCTATGTTGTCTTTTTTTCGTATGCCAGCAGTGTCCTTTCCTCTATATCTTCAGCAGAGCTGGTACCATTATTTTTTGCCCAGCAATTTTGTCGTATCAGTCCCACAGCAAGATTTGTGTATTGTCCGATGCAGACCACGCAGGATTTGTTTGTAAGAATATATTATAATAAGAAGTGTGCCCTCCACTTGTAAGTTTTAACCTACCCTTTTGTTCCTTTGTTTATATTAATTTCATATATGTTTATATTTCTTTGAACAAATTCACTCTGATAGAAATTTTAAATTACTTTAACGTAAAGTGTTTTCTTTACTCTTCTTGAGTACATACTATTGTCTAATTTACAATTAAGAGTTAAAGTGTACAATCATTTTTTTCTTCAAATTTTAAAAGAAAAATTTCTTATTTAACTGAGTTTTTCCCAGTGACACTTTATTAATGCAGTGATTATTTCTACAACTTTATTTTGTTGGCACTTGTTCTGCAGTGAATATATTTTGTGCACTTGTTCTGCAGTGAATTATTTGTTTGCACTTGTTCTGCAGTGATTGATTTATCTTTTATTGATATTTTTATGATTTGATATTTTAATTTTGTCTATGCATTCTAAGAAAATACTTAAATTTCCCATTTGTAACAATTTAATAATTTTATTTTATACATTTTACTTTGATTAAAAATTTAATTTAATTTAAATTCTTATTAGGCAAGAGTAAGAGACAGCTCAATTTGCATTTATTTCAGTCTCCAGTAAAAATTTTACTTGTATAATTCAATGAAAAATTTTTTCTTGACCTGAGTTGTCCAACTTGCAGTGTATTTGAGACGTTTTTTTTTTTATTTACTTCTGCAGAATTAGTTTTATATCTTTTATTTCAATTCTAGCATTTTATTCATTTTTAAATTTGTCATTAATTTAGTGCCTTATTGTTTCTTGTGCCTATTTTGCCATTATGTCTCCACATACCGTCAAGTGATACTGTTAGTGAATGTCGACACTCAGACCTCTCAGGCTACTGTTGCTCATGTTCATCAGACCTCACAGTTTCCTTAGCGACTGACAAGACCGAACCTAAAAAAGACACTGAGATATTATAGTTATACTCGTGATTCCCTTGGATGCAGTTACTTATACAATGGCCATGGACATAGTCTTTGAAGCATGGTTTGCAGCCATTCGTTCTCGTGCTAGTGCTCTAGTGAAGGTTCCTCCCCTTCAGAGGAAAGCCCTTAATCAGACTTGCTAAAGAAGCTCTTTATCCAACCCCTGCAGCTGTTCACTTTGTTGATCTCCTTGATATCGCGACTTCAGGTAATCTACTAAGTGGACACAATATGAGGAACTTGATTCGTTTCTTTCCTTGACCCCAGTAAAACAGCTGATCCATATGTCTTTCTTAGGGAACTAGTGAATAGCTACACCCATGAAAATGAATCGTTGAGTGATAGCTGTAGTAGATTAGACATACATTTATCATCATTATATCAATGCTGTCCATTGCATCATCTTTTCTCCCTGAAGAAGGCTAAAGCCATTTACAAATCGCTCGCTAAATATCAGCTTTATGGAGTCAATTAAAAGAGCTAATGCCACCGCTTCCGTGTGTGCTTTATGAGCACATCCTCCAACTGTGAAGATGAACCACTTACAGCTTAAATCATGTACGTTCCTTTGCCCCAGTGTACTTTCCCTTGTATCAAAAGTTGTCACACATATGCCCCAGTCTGCACCACCTCTTGTTTGCGCCACAGAAGACAAATTCGTGGTCGTCAAACCATCTCAATGATCACCAAAACCATGTACATGAGTCGTTATACACCTCGTATATTCATAGTACATATCAGTAACCATATCGGCGGAATTGTTACAACTTGTGGTTTCCTCGTGGCCATATTGCAATTAATTGTCCTCGATAGTAACCCTAAGAGACGACGTACTGGTATGATGAGTAACCCAGATCTTCCCTACTGTACTTATCATAGAATATCATTGACAGACACATCTGATTGCAATGCTCACATAACCTTCAGTACTCTAGGTTTTCCGTGGCCGTTCCAACTGCAGAACCCGTAGAGCAAACAGATATCGTGGTATCCTCAACATAACCAGAAACAGGCTCATTTCTTCCAATACACAGAACTCACCAGAACCAGGCTCGTATTCCAATTCGGGGGAATTCGAGCGCCCCAGTCAAACCGCCCATTGGACAGAGGTGATAAAGAAGTACACCATCCCCGTTCACAATTCCTTTGAAGCCTTAAGCAGTCTCGTAAATGACAACCCGCTGGATGATGTTGCTTCACCTGTCTCTGACGTATACGATAATTTGGGGATGAAGTGGAACAAGTCTTTTCATGATGACACTCCACCTTTTTGTTTGCACATAACTTCCAATGCAACCATAGGCCCTATAGTGGCAAGCATCTGTTTATAATGCGCCCGTTCATTTGTTCAAGGACACGGTGCGCAAGTCCATATTATTAGGTCCAGTTGATTAAGATAAAGCAAGTTAACGACATGTCCTTCTCGTAAACCGACTCATGTGTCCTCCCTTAGTAGAGAGCTTGTTCCCACCTGCGTGTCGAGGTTCGATCTTCCTAACCTTTTCAATCCAAGGTAGAGACTTCACTGCTTCTTTCTCTCGTTGTCGACCGAGACATTACTTTTCCCTGGTGACCTTCTACTGGGATGTGCTTCCATGCGAGACTTACCATTGTGCTCAACCCTTATCGATGGCATGCACAAATTGACGAACTTGATCGTTCCATTCTGGGGTTACCAGCCCTTTTTTTGGATCAGAATTCCTGTTATACTGTGCAGAGTAACGATTTCAACGAAAGAAAAAGCCTTAGGGCAAGCTAATGCATTCTCCAGTACGCGAACCCAAGCCGGTTCAGGCACTGGTAATTCCTCACATCCCATCATATGTCTCCAACCTATACTCAACTCAGACTTGCAGGATAGTCCGATGCCTCAAGTGTCCGAGGACAGCTCCGGATTGCCTTGAGTGCACGAACCGATCCCAGCATGCCTCGAACCTCTCGAGTATGTAGTTTCTCCACAGGGGATCTTGTACAGAAAACAATTACTTGCAACTAGTAAGTGCCATCTCTTGTTTGATGTCATATGCCAGTCTGTCAGAAGAGACGTCTCTGTTGCCGGCTAGTGCTCTCACTAGAGTGTCCCTGATCTTGTTCCTAGTAGTTCAATGGTGAAAATGTCCTAGTTGACATGATCTTGCAAAGTAAAAGGTCCTATTTGTTGAACCATCCTTCATGTTGAAGAGATAGTAAGAACCATTTCTACCTGGCAAACACTTTCTGGTCACAGTGATCCGTGCCTCTCAGAGCAATACCAATCTCGTTGACCATGTCCACTATCCTTACCCTGTTCAGGTAGATGATGAGTTGTCACCTGACAGTGGTCGGTGCTATTCTGTCCGGGGAGACCTCATCCACTTCACTGGATTTCAATCAGTTCCACCATTTGAGGAGAAAAGACTTAGCATCCCACTGACATCCCAGATGAGTCAAAAGCGTTTGATGACTCTGTTTACAAACGTCGTAAAGCCATTGCTATTACCAGGTGTAGAAGACGGTTAATAACGACTTATTGTCCCAATCGTAATTCCATTGAACCTGGTACTAGACCTATCTACATACTGCATACAGAATCCTCATCACAAGTTGCAGTCGCAGAAGAATTGATATCAATCAAATGCTTGATGATGGGAGTTATTCACTAGCAATTCACCTTGGAATGCACCCTTGATACTATACCAAAGAAGGCTGGAAACTGTGGCGCCATTGATTGACTTTAGGAAGTTCATGCGAAAACCATTCCAGATGGCTTTCACCCACTCCCTTGTACTGGGTGATCTTTTACTAATATCGGAGATAACAAAGTTCTTTTCAACCCTAGATTTTGTTTTACAAGGGTTTTGTCAAGTCCCTCTTCACGAGGACACCAAGAGCTAACGGCATTCTCCACTCCACAGGTCATTATCACTTCCTCCGTATGGCATTTGGATTTACGATCTTCCCCTATACTTCTCAGGCTCATACTAATAACTTTAGAGGTCTCATAGTAATGCACTTCATGGTTGTACTTAGATGACGTAATCGTCCTGTCAAAAGGACGTTGATACACACTTGAAAGACTTGATTATTACTTGGTAAGCTTGAAGAAGCCATTAAAAGATCAAACTGTCTAAATGCAATTATCAGATCAGAAATTAAGTTTCTTGTCACGTAGTCACCCTAAGGGGTTTTACGACTGACCAAAGTAAAGTAACTGCAGAACTTAATTTTTCCAACTCCCAAAACTGATGAGCCATAAGACCTTTGTGGGCCTTAGGCAGGTTATATATAGATCCTTCATTGCCAATTTTTGTTCTTCCATAGCAGCTCCTCTAACTGAGTTGCTTAAGAAAGATGCTCCTTTTGTTTGGACCTTCCGTCAAGAAAGAGCAATTGCCAAACATCTAAAAGAAAAAGCTAACATCTGCTCCCAATTTTGAAAATTTCAGAGCAGATTTTTCTAAGCCCTTCTATCAGACACTGATGTAAAAGTTCAATGGCCAATGTCCGTACTAGCTCAGACAGACCGATGGCAAGTACAACGCAGTTGCCAATTGAGCTAGCCGAGTCCTACGAAGGCTGAACGAATAATACAGTAACTGAGGCAAGAAGCATTAGCAATAGTATGGTCTTTAAAGCACTTCCGAGACATTATTTATCTCAGTACTCTGTTCAGTCTTACAGACCAGCTTCCACTGATACCCTTATTCCAGAACAAACAACCTACTGGAAGGTTACCAGATGGACCCTTGACTATCCAAGAGTTCAAACCCACCTTTGGCATTTACCTGGGCAAGTCAAATGTAGTCGCAGATCCTTAGCGCGACATGTTTAGAATAGTAACTGCGACCCTCCATTTAGTGCTGTCAATACAACAAAAGGAATGCCATCGAACAGATCCCAATTTGGTCTGGTGGTGTTCGATTCCTGCACCAGGAAGATCTTATTCTGACTTGTGAAGCCACCAGCACCCATCATTGACTTTGTCCATGAACCAAGATTACTGTAACGAACAGCCGATTTGGTTACTCCCAGCAGAAGAGATATACCATTTTAGTAATTCCACAGTCAACTAGTGAATGTAGCCTTACAGCTAGATTCACGATGACCAGTGTTGCACACCCTGGTAAGGATCGTTCAGTAAGAACAAGCAGATTGTGAAATACTTTTTGGCCTCGTATCGCAACTGAATTGTCTGAGAATGTCTAAGAAATGTAGTGCCTGCCATGCAACATAAAGGCAATGCAAAAGGTCCGTAAATCCAACCAAGTATATCCAACTACACTGGGACGTGGGAAAGAGTTTCGCTATATTTGTTAACTACTTTCCAATGTTTCCCTCCACCGGTAACCAAACATCTTGAGTGTTATGGTCACCATTTTCTCTCAGATATTGTGAGTTAGTTCCTAATTGACAGGATAAGACTGCCCGAGACAGTAGCTAAAGCGTTTAAAAGAACGCATTATCTGCAAGGCATACCACCCCAAAGTCCCTAGTAACAGATAATGGAGGGAATTCTGTAATGAGCCTATGTCTGAAAAAATGTGGTTCCTTGTACATGATCTCTAAATCCTCCATTGTTCCACATCATCCCTGCCAGCCATGGGTTAGCGGAACGAACTCAATAAGAAAGTACTTGATAAGTCTTGAGATCCACTATCAATAGCCCAACATGAGCGCCTTGGGATGAAGTTATACCTGATGTGCAGTAGTGCTCTAAATTTCTGCTTACAATGTTTCTATATGTGACACTCCAACATTTATGCATTGTATGGTGTAGATAAACCGTTTGCCTTATGAGTTTGTTAATATTCTAATGCCGAAACCAAATTACAACAACCCCTGATGATTTCATAGCAAACTCGTGTATGCCAGCTAGTCACAAGTGTTTTTAGACAGAATCCGTGAAACACTTCCATAAATCAACAGCAGAATTTACAAGAGTCGCAAACACTCGAGCAAAGCCATCCAAATCAAAGTAGTGTTCGAGAGTTATGCTGACGTTAACTTTAACAAAACGTCCTGCAATAGCCAAAGCTTGATCAAAAGTTTGTTGTCCCTTATCGAAGTAGTTGAACATAACACTGGTAATAAGTATAAGGTTAGAGAATTAGTACTGGTCAAT